GGCCAGGAGACTGCAACTGTGTGCAACAAACTATCAAACGGTTCAAAAATAGAATAAGAAAGTGTGGGGAACACCTTGGACTTTCCACAGGGCAGGGAACCATGACTGCTCTTTGGATAGGAGAGGGAGGGGGAGAGGGGTGGGGGGAGGGGGAGAAGAGGGGGGAAGGGGGAGGGAAATGGGAGGCTGGGAGAAGGCGGAAACTTTATTTTTTTCTTATTCTCAATAAAATAAAAAAAAAGAAAAAGATGATGGCTGTATATGGAATACAGTCAAAGAAAATTGCCATAGTCATTAGAATAAACATATACATATTTTTCTCTCAAAAACTAGTACATTTAAAGACCTATTCAGACTTCTGGTTTTAGAAACACTATACAGGGTACTTTGGAGCAAAGGAATCTGACAGAGGACACAAGAGCCCATTGCTGGAAGGGAGGACTAATGTGAAATTCTCTTCCGAGTGTTGTATGTGAAGGGACACTAACCCACTCAAGCATGTATCTCTGGCAGGCCTTGCCCTTTTCCCCCATTCTCTCTGCCTTGATAAAAATCATTAGGCTAGATTCCTAAGGGTAAGAGACTGCCTGACAAGGTCCACCAATCAAAAGCCCCCTTTGGCTCACCTAATTAACATGCTCAATTAAAATGAAACACCACATCCTAACTCAGGATTTTCCCTTTTCCCTTTACAAACTGTCCTTTGCCTATGTGGCACATCTGTCTCCTCTCTATCCAGAGGCAGCCTTTGTTCCTCCTGGACAAATACCCTTACCCCACTGCCCCATTCTTCTTCTCCCCCTTCACCTATCTCCTTTACAACTGTATCCTTGCCAATTCTTACACAGACCTGCCCTTCTTCCGCTAGTAAAAATGACACCTACAAGGTCATTTGCTGCTGCTTTCTGACTTAGGCAGAAAGCAATCACTTTAACTTTTCTTCCCCACTTAATAAAGAATATCTCTGTAAAAGTAGGTGTTTGGGTGTGGTTTGTGCATAATCCAGTGTCCAGAGGGAAATCCCCACTGTGTGGAGTTCTTCTTCAGCAAGGTGGTTGAACTCATGAACACACTACTGCTGCGGTTAGCAAGGTTCCCTCCAGGTTTGGTGTGTTTAAATATATGTGCAACAAGCAGAGTCTGATTTTAGCTGCTGACATAAGTGGGAATGGGTTTATTTACTAGAACATGGGCAATGAAATAGTGACAACACCACCAAATAAAATGATACATCTTACTCCAGCAGCTACTACAGTCCATAGTCCTGCAGTGAGAGGTGGGGCCTAATGAATGACTCACCCATTCATGGTGACAACACCAGAAGGCTCTCACCAGAGCGAACCATAATAACTGCTACCTGCTCTCATGGTTATTTAGCATTTAGAACTGTGAGAATTAAACATTTTTCATTTGTCTGAACAACTAATCCAGACTATGGTGCTCTAATATGTCAAGCTGTTTAAATTGCTGGACTAGTAAAACAACAATAACTAAAGCCTGGTATACATCTGACATGAACAAAAATGAGAGTGAAAGCTCAAGGTGCTCAGTCGGAAAGGCTGCCTCACTTTCATGGGTTTTACAGTAAAATCGGGAGGCTAAATTCTGTGATTCTTCTAAAATTGTATTCCTCATTTCTTCCTCATTCTCTTTAGATTGCTTATTTAATATAATAGATGATATGTGGTAAAATAACCAGACACGATACTAGGATTGATTGCAGATTATTATAGTTTATGCAAATATAAACTAACTGTAGACTCTAGGCAACCACAAAGAATTAAGTAAGAAAGGAAACAAATAATATCCTTAGAAGAAAAGGGAAAATAGAGGGTATTCATAAAGGAATAAATAAACAATATTTTAAAAATTCACAAAAGTCTAGGCAAATCTAGGAGTGAGGCATGGTTTGTAGAATGAGTAGTGTCATTAAATGAAAGCATGTATTTTGCATATAAGCAGTAGGAAATGTTCTTTGTGGTCATCTGGGTAATTGGCTGGATCTTACTCATCAAGGCTATAAAAGCTGTGGCTCATTTGAAAGACTCCTTTGAGAGGAGAGTTGTAACACGTTCCCTGGTGCTGGGCCATTTGACAAAGATTTTACCTAAGTACAGAAATCCAGGTACTCAGACACCAGTGTACCTGTGATCCAAAGGGCAAAATCTATTGTTTCGAAATTCACTGGAGGTTATCATCATGAATTT